CTACGCTGAACGACCCTTTACACACCATCAGAAAAAGGGACGGATTTGCATAAAACTGCCCATGCAAAATGCAACTTTTATTTGTAGATGCAACATGAGAAGTTATTTTTTGTAATTTGAACTGAGTGATGACCCCTCTTACCTTGGGTGGAGAAGATTCTAACCAAGTAGATTTACTAACTGCGGACAAATTGCTTTGAGAGCCCTTACGGTAGTTCTCTCTCTGTCTGCTTGACTTTGGACTGCACATTTCTTTCCAAGGCTAATTCGGCATCTGAAGCAGGAGAGGAAAATGTCAAACTTTTCAGTAAATAAAATTGCAGCTTGTTGATCCGTGGATGTGATGGACTGGAACCTCAGTAGCTCCAGGCACTGTAGACCCATGAATAACTCAATCCTCTATTCCAAGGCTAATTCGGCATCTGAAGCAGAAGAGGAAAATGTTTGTCAAACTTTTCAGTAAATAAAATTGCAGCTTGTTGATCCGGAGGTGTCATGGACTGGAACCTCAGTAGCTCCAGGCACTGTAGACCCATAAATAACTCAATCCTCTATGTGTGCTTCGTCAGAAGTGCATCCCATTGTATTCAATGGGGTTTATCTGCAGACGGACAACGGAATTCTATGCTGAGAACTAAGTTTCACTGTATTCACTATGGCTTACTTATAGGTAAGTGTCTTAGACTGCAATCTTAAACACACTTACCGGGGGAGTCAACTCCATTGAAGGCCAGAGGGAATTACTTCTAAGTCAACATGCCTCCCTTTGTACTGAGTGGCTGAAGTGCTAATCAGATTTACTAGGAAGAAATCCTCATTGAAATGAAGGGAACTTGTTTTTGAATAAACAAACATCAGACTACAATGTTGGTCTTGAAGGTTCCACCATGTCTGTCTCTCTCTCTGTGTGTGTCTCACAAATTAACACAGCTAAGCAGGTGGAACACTTCCTAGAAGGGCAGGATCAGACCAAAAACCTAGGTAATCTGATGTTCTTATCCCCAGAATGGCCAACTCTGGGGAAAATCCACAAGCACACACAAATATACTTACTCCCTCCTGCTTATATGGGATGTTCTTATCCCCAGAATGGCCAACTCTATAAGCCCGTGGAAAATCAGCAAGCACACACAAATATACTGTACTTACTCCCTCCTGCTTATATGAGGATCAGACCAAAAACCTAGGTAATCTGATGTTCTTATCCCCAGAATGGCCAACTCTGGGGAAAATCCACAAGCACACACAAATATACTTACTCCCTCCTGCTTATATGGTTGTCAAATTGTATTTGGAAGAATATTGCTTCAGACGGCAGAATCGGATAAGAGGGCAACTTCAGAGTTGAGGCCTGACAAAATGTTATTAGATGTATTGTTCACAGCTTCTGTGTTTGTGTAATTAACACAAAAATCAATCCTGCCAACCAGTCATCAAACAAGAGCAAGCTAATTTTTCATATTGAGAAACTGCAAAACAACACTGGAGGGTAATGAGACTTCCTCTGCTTCTTAAGACACTTTTGCTTTTAATTGTAAAGCTAGCATCCCGTCTGTTAGAGGTGATGCTTCTAGCATGGCGACTAGCAACTGTAGTTGGCCACATCCTTCACAGATTTTTCTACTTCTCTGCAATTTATGATAGTAAATCCCACAGATTCCGGTACTTTAGAATCTGGAAAAGTTAGAAAAGTTGCTTTCCTAAGCTTTGTGCTAAAAGCTTTTTAGCTAGGGTAGCCCTTCCTTTTATGTACCGTCCTTTTCCCACTAGCATTCAAGGTGATGCACCCCTGGGGTTTCGGATTATATAAGAAGAAGGGAAAGTCTACATTCTGGAAGATTCACCTGTGAAAAGATAAGAGAACTGAGCGGCTGTTACAGGTGTAGGAGCAAGGCCAGGAAAACAGTGGCAATGGTTACAGCCTGTCAGCCTCTATGAAATATAATTGAAACAGGGGTGGATTGCTTTGATGGGGAGAGTTAAGGGCATTATCTGTCCCCATTATGTTGACTGCATTTAATAACAAGTCATCTGATGAAAAATAGCATAGTGTCTTTCCTCCCCTGCTGTCTGCTTCCTTCTGATTAATGGCCCACTTTCACTGCCAACCTTTTGACTTCTTTGTGTGGGAAAAAACGGGGTGGGGGGAGAGGAGGCTGATACGGGAACCCTTCGTGGGAGGGCAGAACCACTCAAAATCAGCTTGACTTGGAAATTCTCTCTCTTCTATAGCAATGAGGGCCAATCCCTCTTTTTTTTATTTAAAAAAAATCTTTCTACAGTAAACAAAGGCAGATCACAAGAGAGGAGCTCCAAATGGATTCCGCAAGGGTCGTTAATAGGAGTTCCTTGCCTTGGTCTTCATTGAGAGAGCAATGACTAATGGGTGTTGTGAAGTCCAAGAGAGAATGTGGGCACCATTTGTGTAACAAAGATCTATAAATCATCCCAGAAACTCCTGGAAGATCCATCATTCACTCAATAAAACCCATTCAGCGAATCCTGGAGCAACCTTTCACCATCATCTGGCTGATTCTCCCTGATTATTTATTTCGTGGCATTTACAGTATATCCCACCTGGTTAAGGACCCAAGGTAGCTTTTAATAATGAAGAAAGGTTCACCGAGATATAAATTCCAATATTTTTTAAAAATGCAATTAAACGCCCAATTTTGTTTAAAGACTATTCACTGAAACAACTTGCACGTATTAAAAATAAAATACACATCAAGAAGGAGTTTTTAGGAAGATAATTAAAAACTGGCATTAAACCTGGCTGTTTTCTGCAGGATATTCAGTTATTTACAAATGTACTTGAATAAAAAAGGTTTTTGTCAGCCAACAGAAGGACAGCAGAGGGTGATGATGGTGTTCTAGCTTCTGGTGGAAGGAGGTTCCACAGGCTGGGGCAGCCACTAATAAAGGCCCTCTCTGGACTCCTCAGCGGATGTACCTGACCTGTGAAGCAGTGGGATCATGAAAAATCTCGGGAGGGTCATATGGGGAGATGCCAGCCTTCAGATAATCCTCACCCCCAACTCTTTTGCGTAATTTTTACAGAAGGTTTGTGTTTAGGGGGCAAAGTATAGCAATAGAGACAGAGGCTTTTTAGTGGTGGCTTCATAGGTATGGAACTAGGATCTAGGTGAGCCCCAATGAGCACAGAAATTACAAATGTTACTAGCTGCTTTCGGTTTGGATGATAGCAGAGGAGAAAAGGGTGCTGCAGTCCTGATTTTTATTTCCTTCCCCCTTTCTCTCTCTTTATTATTAAAAACAATAAAACATTAATTTATATTTTAATGCATATTCTTTCTAGTTAGGCCCGAAACAGAAGTACTAGCCTCTTATAAGCTGTTTTGAGGTGCCATTGCAATACATTGCAGGTATTAATTCCTTCGTTGAATTCTGTGTTTTGATTAACTCTTGACAGGCTGCTTAATGTATGTGATATTGGCCAGATGATAATTTGATCCAGTGGCACCATCTTTCTGTTACATCCTCCCTTATTCTCCTCAATCCCTTTGTAACGATGTGTGGAGACAGACGGATGTTGGCACTCTTAGGCTGCTGCTGATTTTGACACCTGGGCACATCACACACACACACATACACCTAACAACAGATTTTTTTGGGGGGTGGGGCAGTATGTTTTTAAAAAAAGTTCTGCAGCTTTTCTGTTACACTAGTACAAACCACTTCAACATAAGATGATTGTGAGACATATCATAAGATCCGTTTTCTACATAGGAAAATGAAGTTTTGATGTTTTTTGTTTCCCCAAAATTAAATGTGGTGATGGATAGGATTAAATGATGGACAGCACTGGTGCTCTGTATATTAAAATACACCGTGATCTGTTGGGACCTCGGAAAGCGCAAAGCCTCTTGCATGCGCGGAGTGCCACCAAGTGGGGGTCAAAGGAACAAGAGGCAGGAATGAGGCCGCTGTGGCGTTTCAAAGGGCAGTCGCACTCTCCTTACTGGAAGGATCCTCCATGCCATAATAAATGTTGTTATGTGCCATCAAGTCCCTTCCGACTCATGGCAACCCGATGCATGAGGAATCCCCACGAGGTCCCCTCTTCAACAGCCCTGCTCAGTTCTTGCAAACTCAAGCCTGTGGCGTCCTTAATGGAGTCAGTCCATCTCGGGTTTGGCCTTTATTTTTTTCCTGTCGCCTTCAACTTTTTCCAGCATGACTGTCTTTTTCAGATAATCTGGCCTTCTCTTTATGTGCCCAAAGTAAGACAGCCTCAGCTTCAGCATTTTTGCCTCCAAGAAAGAGTTCAGACTTGATTTGATTCAGGATCCACATGTCTGTCTTTCTGGCCTCCTCCAGCACTAGTATTTCAAAGAAATAATTCCCGCCCCCCCCCAGTCAGTTTCCTTAACTGTCCAGCTTTCGCACCTATACATGGTGATCAGGAATAGGTGCAAGAGGGTGGATGACTTTGTTCCTGGACACATCACTTCACTTGATATTGTTTTCTCCGTCCTTCTTTGCTCAGGAAGTTAGTGGGAAGTACAGTACTTAAAAATAGTGGAAAGGAATACTGTACACCTTTTTTCCCCAAAGGGCTGGAGGAATATGGCCCACCGGGTTAGTGCCATTGGGACCACATGCTGGAAGTCTTGTTTTATTTCGGGGAGAAAAATCAAATTTTGGGGGGAGGGAGGAATCGCAAAAAAAAACCCTCACGTCTGAGGAAGTGGACTTGATTCCCCCAAAGCTCACATGAAAATATAACAGTCTTGAAGGGGCCACAACGTTTTTCCTCTCTTATTTTTCATGTTTCTTTTGTTTTGGTCTGATCTAATTTTTTAAAAAAACTCATTTTGCCCCTTTCTCTCTCTCTCTTTTTCTTCACTCAAGAGTTATACGGAGGGTTATATCTCTCCCCTCAGCGCTTCAGAAAAAAGGCGGGAAAAGAAAGACTACGATTCCCAGAATGCACCAGTATCCACCGCTGGCAGAAGGGCGAGGGTGCGTGGGTGGGGGGGAAAAAGGAGAGAGCCGTTTCCCGTCATGCCCCGGGCGCAGGCTTCTTTGCCGGACTCCATTTCCCGGCGTGCTTTGGGAGGAGAGCGCGCCGTCGTGAAGTCACGTGTACAAACGGGCCTCCCTAGTCCGCCTTCTCCCGCCGGCGGGACCAGCATGGAGGGGCAAGTGCTCCGGCACCGGGCTCTCTACAAGGCCGCCCCGACGCCCCCTTGGAGGGACACCTTCCGGCAGGTGGGGACGGGGAGAAGGCGGGGGAGCGGCCAAAGCCTGGGAAAGTGCCTTCCGGGGACTACCAAGCCCCTCATCCTGTGCCCAAGGCAGCCAGCCACTCGCCTGGGCCATGCTGGGAGCTGGAGTCCATAACAGGAACTTCTCCAAGGCGTAGGAGGAGGTTCGCCAGAGTTTGGAAGAGTTACCCTTTGGGACGCCAGCTGCCAGAAATCTCCAACCCAAAGCCTGGGGATTCTGGGAGTTGTAGTCCAAGAGATGAGCTCCCCACCCCGCACAAAGGTCTTCTAGGAAAAGGCCCTGGGACTGAAAGGACCCAAATGCCTTTAGAATATAATTAATCGAGCCATAAATGAGCTGAGCTCAGAGGCTACTCCCGTTGAGTCCAACAGGGGAACATGCTAAGCTCTCTATTAATTGTATTTTAAAGAAATGTGTGGAATTAATGCGGACCTTCCTCTGTGCCAGGTGTTTTGGAACAAAAATGTGCTGCTGGTCTGAACTTTTTTCCCCCCAGAAAATTTGAACGCTGCAAAGCTAGGCCTACTCTTCGGTCACTGCTGCTTAAAAGATTTGCAAGCCTTCCAGCTGAAGGAATGATTTTACAAAAGAGATTTCAATGTCCTCCGCTTAAGAGAGGATTCAGGATAGTTCAGGGTTCTTAATAATTTTGGGTGGGTGGAGAAATGTTGCTCCATGCGCACAGTGAAATTGTTATTCTGGCAATTTTGTTAAGTAGCTACCAGACAGCCAAAACAAGCCTTGTTTTTCTATTAACTTACAAAGAAGCTATTTTCAGGGCAGGCGGAATGGCCTTTCTTTAAAAAGCTTGCAGCTTATATGCTGCCCCATAGCATTGAAAGCACTCTCTAGGCAGTTTGCAGTGTTTTAATTGTGTAGGCTTTACTTTGCCCCCACCAGCAAACTGGGTACTATTCAATTTACCAATCTCTGAAGGAAGTAAGTCAACCTCTAGGAGCGAGCAGAGTCTTGGCTGCAGTACTGCAGTTTAATCGCTGCTCCACACGGCTTGTGCCCACTGGAGGCTTTAGGCCCTTTTTAAGTATTCTTTGGTGTATGTGGGATGGTCTGGGTCGGCTGTATGTGGCTTGCAAGCCACCCTATTTAATGTCATGTGTTTTGACCCCCAGTTTAGTTACTCTGAAATAAAAAGTTGTGGATTTCCCCTCCCCCCTTCCTCACTCTTTGCTCCATAGCGCTGCGTCACGAGGCTGAAAAGCAGCCGAGCCAGGCTGCTGGAAAGATACCGCCAGCTGGGAGAAAATGTCGTCTGGAAAGGAAGCGATGCCTCTTTGGTGCAGGAGGTGATGGAGGTGGAATGGCAAGCCCTACAGTCGGCGGATGTTCTGCTGCCATCCCTCGAAAAGCAAGATGCTTTGCCTCAGGTTCGTGTGATCGGAAGCAAGCGCATGCATGTCTTCCAGATGGGAGGCTGTCAATCAAGGGTGCGAATGGTGTCCCGTTTTGGATCTACAGTGGGTTGGGGTTGCCCTCCTGCCCTTCACGGGTAGCAACAAAGTATGCTGTGATGTCCTGCTCCCGGGAGAGAGAAGGCCACGTCCGAGGTACTGGACCTGAGAAGGCTTGGCTTCTGCCCAAGACCAGCAACGGCCGCCCGAGGCAGGCCTCGATCCGTGGAGGGATCTCTTCCACCTCTCTGGTCAGGGAAAAGACAAGGTTTTGAGGGTTTGTGTCAGGAAGTGCTCTGACTTCAGATCCTCTTAGACCTTGGCTCCCTAGGTGTTCTTGGACTACCACTCCCAGAAATCCTGGCCAGCACAGATCGTGGCAAAGGCTTCTGGGAGTTGTAGTCCAAGAACACCTGGGGACCCAAAATTGGGAACTGCTGTCTTAAACATTTGCATTGCTCTCAGTGGGAGGTGAGTTGTATCTCCAAAGGTAACTGTATAAGCGAGTGGTTCCCAACTTTGGGTCACCAGGTGTTCTTAGACTACAACTCCCAGAAATCCCGGCCAGCACAGGCACAGTTAGGGGCGAAGGCTTCTGGGAGTTTTAGATGAAGAATCTCCGGGAACCCAAGGTTCAGAAATGCTGCTCTAGACATTTGTTGCGTTTTCCATGAGATGTCAAGGACTGAATCCACATTTGTTTTGCTGCAGGTCTTTGACATGCCCTCTTTGTTGCTGTTGTTGTTTGGTTGCCTTAAGGTGTAGAAGACTCAGTTTCTGCCATTCTTTTTAGGTTCTAGAAGATGCCGAACAGGCAGTTTGGGAAGAAATCCAGCAAGAGCTGATCATGCAAGGTAGGTGGCTTCCTTTGGCTTTGCGGCTGGTGGATTTTGCTCTCTTATCGCTGACGGCGAGTGACCCCCGGCCACCTTTCTTGCAGACCAGCTGGCCCTGGAAGAATATGAGCGAAGCCTGCAGTTTGACGAGGAGTGCCTCAAGGCGATGGTGGACGGCTTAGACGCAGAGTGCCAGGTTATCTGCCCCGTTTGTAGGAGGTGAGGCGGCCAGCTCAAGGGGAGCCTTGTGCCAGGCGTCGTTGTCGTAGCTGCGATGCCACCCGGGTGTCCCCAAGTAAAGCAGAATCACTCTGCTGAAAGCAGACATGCGTAGCAGAAAGGAAGGTCCTCCACTGAGCTAGTTCTCTACTTGCAAGGGGATTGGCCTCTTCGTCCAAAGACAAAGGAGCATTAAACGCTGGTGCCTTCCCATACCTGCAGTCCCAAGTGATATTGCAAGTGATGCTGTGTGCATAAACATGGAGTGACTCTCTTGCTCCTTCTAGCAGTCCAGTCAAATTTTGATTCTTAGATTCTGTAGAATATATAAACTGGCCTTGAGTGTTACGATTTATATTCTGTGGTAGCCACTTCTGTCAGTTCATAGCGAGATGATTTCTGGGTGCCGTTTGCCTCCTGCTGTCTCTCCTGCCTTCAACCCACTCAGTTTGGCTTCTATTATGTTTATTACATGTCTCACCCTAATGACCTGGGAATGGTGCCTGCTGCTTTCTTCCCAGCCACTTTATCCTGTCGAGCTGAGAGATTGTGACTGGCTCAAGGCCATCCCATGGGTTTCCGGGCTGAGGGAAGCAGATTTTGAACCCCCAGACTTCCAGGTTCTGGCCCAGCACTCTAGACACTTGCAACACGCAACACATTTGAGGTCAGATCTGCTTTGTCTTCATGGTTGCAACACTGTTTTCTAGGTACAATCTCACCGTGAGAAGCTGCTCGGTGGTGTGTCTGTGTGGAGTGTGCATCGCAACTCAGGTAAGCAGATGCGCAGAATGTTCTGATTTCAAGACACTGGAAGTGTGTGAATGGACGGGCCGGTTCCGGGAGCCGGACCTGCATTAGGTGCAGCTGTGGCCTGGGGATATTTGTATCTGTTTATGAATATGAATATCCCCATCTCTAATCATAATTCCTAGCTAACCTGCACCGCAGAATGTAGCTTGTGCTTTTCTACACCCAAGACTGCTTTCACGTTGATCGCTATGCGGGAGGCATTAGTTGATCCTTGCTTTGGGTGATATAAAACACAACGGCCAGCAAATGTGCCCATGACATGAATGCATAACCGGATGTGCAGCAACACCATGGAAGTGCCATTCTTTCTTCCTCAAGGATATGACAGAGGAGAAGCTGAGGGCGCTGCTGGAAGACAGCGTAACGGAACACAGCCACCACTGCTGGTTCCAGCCTGACTTTGCCGTAACTAGTGGAGCAGAAGGACAACCGTCTAACCTCCTGATGAGCTGCCAGGTGAGTGTGTAGGTGTGCTCCAAATGAAGAAAAAAAAATTATATGTTTGGTTCCTCCTTGTAAAAAGCAAATATGGTTCTGATTCAGTGGACTACATTGCTTGCGTAGTTCAAATCAGTACCAGATAAAGATATAAGCTATATAGTCCATTGATATTTCCAGGTACAGAAGGATCCTTATAACCTCAGGATCAATATCTGTGATTTCACTTATCTCCGGTCTGAAAATATTAAAAAAACAAAAAACAAAAATATATTTTTGGTGCCGTAATTACCAGACATGGCCACCAGAGGGAGCAAAAGACCATGTTATGTGTAAAGTTCCTTCCAGAATGATTACATTTTGTATTCGTGAAGGCTTACATTTTATTAGTATTATTTTATCATTTTATGCCTTTTGTGCTTGTCTGTGTGTACTTGCCTGAAGCGGTCTGACGGTATACAAAGCCACAGTGATGCAAACTGGAAGAACTGCAAAGCTGTGGTACAAAAACACAAATCTACACACTTCTAATTTGTTAGGTTCTTCCTTCCCAATGTTCCACTACAGTAACATCCCCACCCCAATTAGTCACTATGCTGAACGTTTGTCTAGTTTTTAAAAACTGATACGTAAGCAGTCTATCAGTATAAAACATTTAACTTTGTTTTGTTCCTAGGTCTGTGATACCTGGACCGTCATTTTGTAGCCTTGCCGGCTCTGTTATCCCATCTGTAAAAATCGATGCAACGATGAGAATTTCTTCCTCTCTTCAGAGAAGTATCTTGAGAACAAACACATGTGTGCGTGCCATATACACTGTGTATATAACTGTAAAAAGCATCCTTTGTTTATATATATTTTTTTATTTCAGCAGCTCCATGCTGTTTTGTGCATACTGTACTACCCAGCCGAATAAAATTCCCTTTTAAGTTAAGAGGTTGGATTCTAGAGCAAATTGGATTCTTCTCTTCTGTTCCGTCCTGCTCTGAAATTGGTAGATCTTTGATAGCTTTATTGTGCCTTCTCTGATTTTGCACATCTTTGTTCTGTCCTACTTGTTTCTTTAAAGCAGTGCTTCCCAAACTTGTGTGACCCTGGTGTCCTTGGACTGCAACTCCCAGAAACCTCAGCCAGCACAGCTGGTGGGGGAGGGTTCTGGGACCTGTAGTCCAAGAACATCTGGGTGACCAAAGGTGGGGAACCACTGCTTTAATGCAACCGCATGAGTTACAGCATTCAACTAGGTTTGCTTGCCGATTTTGGAAGTGGCAAAAAGCAAGATATAAAAAGAAGAAACAAATCAGCTTGGAGAGGGCAAGACAGATGATGGTTCACCCGTTGATTTGATTTATATCCCACCTGCCTCCTTTTACTGAGAAGACTGACGGCTAGGGTGACTGACACCAAACGTAAAGCAGGTACTTTCAAAATATTCCCAAAAAATATGTATGTGTGCATACACACAATTAAACAGAAAGGACGAAGCTCAGGGTGTTGTTCTTTGGGCAAAGTGAGAGAAGACAAGACTTAGGGGGAAAGACAGCTCTAGGAAAAGTTGAAGGCAGCAGGAAGAGAGGGAGTCCAAATGTGGGATGGATTGACACCATGAAGGCAGCCACAGCCTTGAGTTTGCAAGAGCTGAGCTGTTAATGAGAGGATATTTAGAAGGTCATTTATTCATAGGGTTGCCGTAGATCAGAGGTGACGACACATAACAGTAAATATGCAAAAGCTTCACATGTTCAAACACGATGAAGGTAACTATAATACTGAAACACTAATTGCATTAAAAGCACCGAATTGTCTAAAAAGCAATTCCCAATCTTGGGTAACCCCCCCACCATGTTCTTGGACTGCAATTCCCAGAAGCCTTTGCTACGCGCTGAGCTGCCTGCCCAGTGGTTTCTGGGAGCTGCAGTCCAAGGACCCCCCCCCCGGGGTGAGCCAAGGTGGGGAACCCCGGGAGACCTTGAAAACCCCCTCCCCCCGTTAAGTTGGGGGCTTCCGCAACACCCAGCGTGTCTTGCTATAGCTTTAGCTCCTGCGTGTTCACACCTGATTTCAGTCTACTTTATATCTGCAGCTGGGACAGATCCCGTAACAGGACTGGGGTGGCTTACTAGGAATCTAAAGAGTAAACAGCAAGCCAACCTAGCTGGGAAAGCAAAAAGAGGCCGTGCAGGATTTTCTCAACTGGCCATCCAGCCATGTTGTATCCCAGGACACTTTGTTCTGCAAGTGTGCTTGGACTACCGCTCCCGAAATGCAGCTTGGGGGATTCTGGGAACTGTAGTCCAAAGGCAAATCTCTGCACCTTCCCTCCATTCTCCCCTTTTGTCATCCCACTGCGCGTGTTCCGCCCTCTCTAGGTTTATAAGGAGCAGCATTTCTCTTTGTAGAGGGTTAGCGGACCTCTGTTGAGGGCTGCCAGGTTAGAAAGCGGCCCCGTTTAGCCTTAAAAAAAGGCAGGAGGGGCGGGCCTTTGGAGAGTTCCCAGTCCCAGCCGCTGTCAAATGGAATCCGGAAGTGTCATGTGGGTGTAGCCGCTTCGCCTCCTTCCCTATCTCTTTAAATAAAAAAGGGCGAGTCCTCAGGAGGGGCGGGCCTTTGGAGAGTTCCCAGTCCCAGCCGCTGTCAAATGGAACCCGGAAGTGTCATGTGGGTGTAGCCGCTTCGCCTCCTTCCCTATCTCTTTAAATAAAAAATGGGGCGAGTGCTCCCGGCCGGAGAGCGACTCTCTAGCCAGCCTGTCCCTTACGGCAACTCTTTGATCCCGCACTTCCGGTGTCTCCCTTCCCGCTCCTCTCGGCTGCTAGGCGATGGGAGAGAACTTCCGGATGGGCCGCGCGGGGCATGACGGGAAGAGGGAAAGGAGGCGCCGGGAAGCATGGATGCCCACGAGCTGTTTCGGAAGCTGGGCGCCGGCGCCAAGTTTGACGTGAAGCGTTTCCGGGGGGATGCGGAGCGTTTCAAGGTGAGGGAAGAGGGACGGGGGGGGGGGCGCCAGACTCCGGGCCCGAGGGCCTAGTGGTTAGCGAAAGAGGCTCCAGGGCTCAAAAGGCCTTAAATATCCTCCCCCCCCGCGCCTCGCCTTCTTTATAGATGAGGAGAACTAAGTGAGCGAAAGGGTGGAGGTCCAGGGGTTGCTTGGTTTCGACTTCCATCAGCTTTAGCCCCCCCGTAGGATGATGTAGGATGATGGGCATTGCAGCCCCCGCGACCTTGTGAGGTCGACAAATTCCCCATCTTTTGGTGTAAAAGCCAAGCGAAGTGTGCTGCTTATCAATTGTAAGCTGCCCCCCCATCTTGTTTTTGAAACTCTCTGAGGGGTTTACTTGGAAGAGCAGAAGGCTTGAGTTGAGAGTAGACTCTGTCAAGATGGGCGGCGTATAAATGCAATAAATAAATTAAATATATAAATTGTCCGAGCCTGTTGAGGTCCAGTCTGTGAGCAGTGTCTTGTCTGGAGTCCTGCAGTTTAACCACTTCACCTGCAGAAGATGTGTGGGGAACTCTCAAGTTTCCTTCATCTCTTTGGGACGCACAACACACCTACATTTATAGACCTTTTTATTTTATTTTAATGAGGCACAATGAGATAAATAGAAAAAAACTGACTGTTGTTTTTTGCAGTAACTCTGTGGGGAAAATGTGATGGAATGATTCTGATAGAATCAAGGTGGTCTTTGCCAGGGGTGTGGTTGCTGTGTATTTCCTCATCCTGTTTCCCTCTGGCGAAAGAACAGCTCTGATGAAAATGCAAGTGAATACTGTATTAATTGGCACACTGAACTGAAAAAAAAAGAGATTGTGTGACTCTTTTAATTGCAGGTGATCAGAACTAAGGAGAAAGAAGCTGACGCATCAGAAATTCTGGGAGGTCTTGACTTTTTTGCTAACAAAAAGGCAACTGGTCCTGATAATGTTAAAGGGGGAAATAAGCCTGTTGCAGACCATGCAGATGTACAAGAGCAGGCTGAATCTTACCCTGAGGAAGAAATAGTGAAATCCACACCAGGGAAGAAGACAGGAACTGCCAAGAGGAGAAAAGATATACAAAGCAATGAAGGCAGGAAAAAAAAGAAAAACTGAACTGAAAAAAAAAGAGATTGTGTGACTCTTTTAATTGCAGGTGATCAGAACTAAGGAGAAAGAAGCTGACGCATCAGAAATCCTGGGAGGTCTTGACTTTTTTGCTAACAAAAAGGCAACTGGTCCTGATAATGTTAAAGGGGGAAATAAGCCTGTTGCAGACGTACAAGAGCAGGCTGAATCTTACTCTGAGGATGAAATAGTGAAATCCACACCAGGGAAGAAGACAGGAACTGCCAAGAGGAGAAGAGATATACAAAGCAATGAAGGCAGGAAAAAAAAGAAAAAGACTCAAGGTTAGTTATGGGGGCAGAAGATGGGAGTTAGTTTTAACCATATGTTCATTTAAGTTCTCCTTAAAGCATTGAACAGTAATTGTTGAGTGGATTTCAGCTCCCCTGTGCTAGGCTGTTTGAACTAATTTGTCTGATTCTTGTAAGGCATTGTACATAGTAGCAGCTTTTCAAGACATTTCACAGGCTTCAATCGGTGCAGAGAGCTTCATGGAGCCACATTACACTGATTCTGAAACGATACTGTTGTCTCTGTGTTTGCATCTAAGCCGAATATAAAATCTTGGTAGTTCTTTGTAAGTCAAGGGTCCACTGTACACTGATTCTGAAATGATACTGTTGTCTCTGTGTTTGTATCTAAGCCAAATATAAAGTCTTGGTAGTTCTTCTACTATCCTAAATGCTCTTGGATGCAAATACCCAAAGAAACACCTCTTTTCCTACTCATCTTTTCTTACATTACAATCTTTGGATAAGCCCTGTTTTGAATACTGCCAGTAAGAGAAATACACAACAAATATGCAAAGGATAAAAGTCTTTTTTTCCAGTTGTGTTCGGCTGACTGGAGTGTCCTCTCTAAGGAGGTTTGACAACTGCTGACATTTTTATTTTTATTTTTTTTATTGGACTTATATACCGCCCCATAGCACTACAAGCACTCTCCGGGCGGTTTCCATTGGTTAAAACTGTCCAGGCATGTATTTATTTTATTAGACTTATATACCACCCATCTAGAATGTGTCTCCTCTGGGCGGTTTACACAAAAAATAAACTATAAAAATATAAATGTACTAAAAATACGACCCAAATTAACAACAGAATCCAAGATGGAAAAGAGAAAAGGAAAAGAAAAATAGGCTGTAAAATGTAAAATTACTGTTGCTCTTAGTATTGTTTTACTGTTTGCCTCCTAAATTCATCTTTGTACAATTGCAATTTTATTGCTTTTTTTGCAGCATTTAACTTCTTGAGTATTGTTCTCTGCTTAAGAGACTAGTTTGGGACGAAGAGTGTATTAGAAACTGACCTGTAAATAAAAATGTCCAGAACTGCAGACAGTCAAGTCCATAGGAAGCCTTTCATTTAGAATGAATGGGGAAATTGCTTTCTGCTTTCTTACTCCTAGTTTAGTGAGATATGTTCTTATGACGTTCAGAGATAGGTCCCATGACTCTTGGTACTGATGGCATATTGTGGATGTCCTCTTCGGAAGCGAAGCTTAACCTTCCGAAAAAGAAAGTGGAGAAGGAGCCTGAGGTGGAAAAGTTGAAACGAGCTCAGCAAGAAAAGGTGAAGTATCTCTTTTTGGTGTTTTGCCTGGAAGGATTTTGGTTCCTCTAGAAATGAAAAGTGAATAAAAATGGGCATGACCTGTTTTGGAAAAAGAAAACACTTATTAGCCAGCGTAGTCTTCTGAGGTTTGGTGTACGTGGATTATCATTCTTTTAAAAATGGGAAATTCCTGGGCTTTTTAAAAAGAGTTGATGTTGCTGATCAAATGAGCAAGACCAGAGTTTAGAATTCTACGCCTTTTCCAAATTCAGCCACATTTCCGCCCTCCCTGAGTAAGATGTTCACCATGATCTTGAACTGTTACTTGTTACTTTGCTAATACACTGCTTTTAAAGATTTTTTTAAAAAAGATTGCTTTTAAATAAAGTGTACTTTAAAAAAATGAAGAGGGGAGAGGCTAAATTCCCAACAAAATCATATTTTAGAACTAGCAAGTAAACAGTAATCGTGATGCTAAATAAATATCTGGCTCACCAGTCAGTGATTTATTTGCAAAAATGATGTTGGTCTTTCTTAGTTATTGGAGAACTAATTCACTACTGACGGTATCATTTCTTCTGACATGTAGCTTCCAAGCTATGGTTAAAAGCAGTCAACAAGATTAGGATCCTAAGAAACCTTTCTTCTCAATAAGTTGTAGTATAAATGTTCTTGTGGTGCTGTTCAGGGAAGAGTCAAGGTTTCATAGTTATATCTAGAGAGAAGATAAGAAAAAACTGTGTGATTACCTTGCATGCAGACAATGTTTAACTCAACAGAAGACCCTCTAAAACACAACTGAGGTGTGCATTTTTACTGTACCAAGTTGCACTAAGTCTCTAAGGTGTGATTAATTGTATTTGATAATTTCATGGTATCTTTCAGAACAGGAAAACTACAATTTAAAAAACTCATGTGATAAATCTGGTAACCAAAGTAAATGGAGATAACTTTTTTTCATTCTTAAGTAGCCTCCTATTTTAAAATAGCACACATGTTTTGGGGTTTTCCAGACAAATCATTTCAGAAATATGCACAAGATTTACATTCAAGGAACAGATCTCCCCGAACCTATTGCTACATTTGAGCAACTCCAGGAAGAATACAAAATCCACCCAAAAATCATGCAGAACATCGAAGCTGCTGGATTCCACACTCCTACGCCAATTCAGATGCAAGCAATTCCTGTAATGCTTCATGTATGTCTTGTTTTCTCTCTCTTTGGGATAAAAAGTTAGGTGAGGTGTCTTTAAGCTGTTTGTGTTGAATGAGAAATGAAAAGCTTTCCTCATTCCCTTCTGTATGGTGGGTAAGGTTCTGGATGTAGAGCCTTGAGGAAGATAAGAGGAAGCCCTTATGGATTAGACCAAAGGCTTACTTAATTGAATATCTGTTCCCACTGGGATTAAACAGATGTCTGTATGAAGCCCACAAGTGGGATGTACTGTAGGTCCACCGTATCCACGGGATCAGTACCTGGGATTTCATTGATCTGCTGCTTGAAAATATTAAATAAAGATTCCTAGAAATATGCTTTTCTAAGATGTGTTACCAGAACAGGCCACTAGAGGGAACCAGAGACTTTTTTCTCTCTCTGTGCGCACCTCTACTACTGGAAGTAATCTATAATCAACATGACATATAGCACCGTGTCTGATGCACACACAACAACCTCGGAGCATGCACAGCTTTCACGTCTTAGTTGGTTGTGATGCTCCACGTGGGGTATGTTACAAATAAACAGTGATGGGAGATGCAGGCATGTCAGTCTCATGTTTCTGCCACATTTTATGCTGTTTGTTTCAAGTGGGCATGCAGTTAATTTGTTCACTTGAAATGTTGTGCCAAATGCCGAATTGTCTTGTCTCTTTCTCTCCACCTCCCCTTACCCTCCTCCCCACCCCCAGGGTCGTGAGCTTCTGGCTTGTGCTCCCACTGGCTCGGGAAAGACATTGGCATTTAGCATTCCTATTTTAACACAGCTGAAACAACCCATGAACAAAGGGTTCAGAGCTCTTATCATCTCCCCCACGCGGGAGCTTGCGAGTCAGGTATGTTAATTTCAACATTATTTGAATTTGCTGTCAAGGCCTCTCCCAACCTATGAGTGCACACTGATGGTTGTTAATTTCAACATTATTTGAATTTGCTGTCGAGGCATCTACCAACCTATGATGGGTTGGTAAAGCTGAGCAGGACAAGAGACAAGGGGAAACGGTTCTTAGCTTCCCAAAGAAAGCCAAAGGAGTGAATGCGATAGACCCCACTGTGGGGCAGAAGAATCCCTTGGTTGAGTCCCTGCTGGACTCCGGTGGTGTTTGCAGGGATCTTCTGAGAAGCACCAGCTTAGCCTGCGACTCTCACTGTTGGAAGTGGGAGCAGCACCCAGGAGAAATCCTCGGTCCCTGGAAGAGCAGAGACTATTATGGGGTAGTTGACCCCTCAATTGGGGTAAATTCGGAGAGATGCAAAGCCTCTGGTGATCCCAGTTCCTTTAAAGGCTGGAGACCCCCCCCCCTCAACAACAACAACAAAAGAATCATTACCTTGCAGTTGACATTTGTGTTTAAATACAGGTCTGTGCTGTATAATTTGTTTTAGACACACAGAGAGCTGGTGAAGTTGTCGGAGGGCACTGGCTTCAGAGTAAACATGATCCACAAAGCTGCTGAGGCTGCAAAGAAGTTCGGTCCAAAATCGGCCCAGAAATTTGGTAATGTGCATTTAATGTGGGATTCGCCGTCGGCTTGCCCCCCTCTCCTGGCTACTTTCAAATGAGTGTGTCTTTTCTTTATAGACATTCTGGTGACGACTCCAAACAGACTTATCTATCTCCTAAAACAAGACCCTCCTGCAGTAGATTTGACCAGGTAAAGAGGAAACGCTCCTGTTGACGTACAGACTGATGTTGTTGCAACCCCTTTCTGCAAATAAGGAGGCCCAATGGAGTCAGTCTGAGTTTTACCTGAGTGCTGTTACAGGGAAAGTCCTCTCTTGTGTTGTCACTAACCTTGTGCCTCTGGGGAAAGTGTTGGGTATGTGTGTGATAGACAATAAAGGGCCAGATTATAATCTTTCTGACCACATAGCTTGAACTGGGCATTATCCATCAACTGAACCTGTCCTGGAGCACGGTTGTGATGAAACATGAAAAGAGAATGTTATCATTCTGAGCGGTTTGGAGAAAACTTGAGATCTAAACATGATCTAAAGCCCCAAATTCTTCTCCTTAAGTGTGGCCCTCTTGGACAGTGAGATCTCCTGGTCTTGCCACATTTGGAAGACTCAAGTAGAGTTGCCCGCCTCCAAACCACTCACTGCAGCGTTATACTCTCCTTTAGGGTTGAGTGGCTGGTGGTTGATGAGTCGGACAAGTTATTTGAAGACGGGAAGACCGGGTTCCGAGACCAGCTGGCCACCATCTTCCTCGCGTGCACCTCCCACCTCATCAAGAGGGCCATGTTCAGCGCAACGTTTGCACATGATGTCGAGCAGTGGTGTAAACTGAATCTCGACAACGTCATCTCTGTCTCTATTGGCGCAAGGTGAGCCAGGAGCGAAGGTTGCGTCTTGCTCAAGAAGCGTTCTGGCAGGTGGAAAACCCAACAAATGTGTGTCCGTGTAAGCCTTCCTTAGATCAGATTTCTTTGCTGGTACTTATTAATTTTTTAAATCTCACCATCACTTACTTGCAGCTATGACATATTGGGAACGGTGGTTTCGGTTTCCCTGCTCTGTGCAAAGTTCTGGAGGTTTTCACCTTGTGCATTTTTCTGTAGAAACTGATTCTCCTGCTTGATTGTGTTCACCACTTTCCTGCTCTTTGCAGTTTCTCTTCCAGGCATTTGTACCACTGAAGAGAGAAACATTTTTTTTCTAGCCTATATTGAAGAGGCTGCTTGCCTCTTCAGCTCATTGTGGAAATTTCTCACTGTCACCTGGCTGAGGGTCATTTTGTTTTCGTTGTTTTCATTGCTTTTTTTTAATATTCTGAAAGTGTAGCACACTTCTGCTTATTCATTTTTGCATTAGGATTGTTTAACATAACCATGCTTTCTCACCTAAGGATACCGTCAGACATACGGCTTCTAGCAATAAAATGGCATTTTGCATCTAATCTAGCTTTCCGTCCTTCGCCATCTTTTTTTGTGGTGTGAAGGAGGAGGGGGTGAGGAGGAAAAAAAAGGATTATGAAAGAATACCCTGTGTTCTGGATCCCCTGCAAGCGTTCTTTGAATGAAAAAAGGAGTGTAATTTACATAAACAGGAAGTGTATCTCCTGGGGGGGGGTAGACTTTGATAATACTCTTGGCAGTAGTTAAGAATGACGCTTGCTCCCAATTTTTGATTTCAGAAACGCTGCAGCTGAGACGGTGGACCAAGAGCTGTTATTTGTTGGATCGGAAACAGGAAAACTGTTAGCCATGAGAGATCTGGTGAAGAAGGTAAGCCACTCTGTGGGGCTCTCTTCTTTATCATTATTCTGGGAATCCTGTGTGCTTTGTAAGACAATCTGACACAGCAAAAATGTGATGGTAGAAAGGAAGGTCATTTTGAGGTTGCTGTTCTTATTGAACTGGCTGCATTGCTGCATAGGAATAATTTTGCCACCTGCTTTGAATTTATTTATACATAGATGGCGGCAGAAATATTTAAAAGCAAGTAAATGCTACTCAGAGGTACTAGAAGTGAGATCCCACTGAAACGAGTTAGACTTAGCAGTAATTTCGATGTCCAGCCTGTAGCCCGTGTATTCCTCCTCCTTATCCCAACTTTCTTTGTTCCTCCCTCCCGGTCTCCTCCTCCTTGCAGGGTTTCACGCCTCCTGTCTTGGTTTTCGTACAGTCCATTGAGCGGGCCAAAGAGCTATTTCACGAGCTCATTTATGAAGGCATCAACGTGGACGTCATCCATGCAGACAGGACCCAGCAGCAGGTAGGAAAGAGAGACGGCAGAGCCTGGAAAGTCGCTTTACAAGGCACCGCTTTGCCCACGTGGCTTTCCTGCCTCTCTGGGCATGGGCATCGCTTTGCAGAGGGAACCCTTCCAGGTTAGCACTTGGTGATCGTCTGCAGACAGCACTTACCTAGAGGGAACAATGGGTCTTTGCAGAGGGAACCCTTCCAGGTTAGCACTTGGTGATCGTCTGTCACTACAGACAGCACTTACCTAGAGGGACCAGTGGGTATGACATGGTGGGATGGCCAGGCCGATGAAGGCACCAAGTCTGAGGTGTGACCTTGTTCCCATAGCGGTGTTCCTTTTTCTAATGGAGGCATGCGTTCCAATAACAGTTCCTGGTGGCCTGGAGAAGAGGGAGCTGTCGTAAGCTGCGGTGGCAGAGCACACGTTTTGCATGTAGAAGGGTGCCAGCTTCTGTGTTTGGCAACACCATCAAGGGCTAGGAATGACTCCAGTCTGACCTGTAGAGCTGCTGCCCTAGGCAGGATTCAGTCCGTCATCTGACATTGAAAAGGATGTTGCCCTTGAAAGCAGGGGGTCCCCTTTTGCTATTAAGCCCCTTAGGTACCAGTAGAGTTGCCTTCCACGTCTTTGTCTTTTCCTGCCCTAACCTCAATCCAGCGATGACTGCCTGCGATTCCACAGCTGGTCTACTGTTCAAGATTCCTGCCTGCACAACTACAGTTGAACAAGCTCTAGTGCTGTTCCATGACGTGTCTGATGCACAATCCCTTGTGCAATAGACACCTCGCCAAACTGTGTTCCCACATGTGCAACATTAGCTGTATCTGTAGGAATATAATAACTTGCTGTCAAGTCAATTCTGACTTATGGCAACCCTTTTCAGGGTTTCCTAGGTAAAGAATACTTGGGACTTTGTTTCCCATTCCCTTCTGGGGGAGCTCTGAGACTGTGCATCTTGCCCAAGGCCACCCAGGCTGGCTCTACTTGCAGGAAGCCCAGGGGAAATCAAACGCCCAGCTGTTGGCCCTGAAGCCAGAGACTTAAGCCAATGAGCTATCTAACCAGCTAAAATTAAGGTAAATTCAGATCTGAGGTGGGAGCCAGGAGAGAACTTGCCCCTGGGTATCCCTGTGTCCCAGGGCCTTCCAAATCATCATGCATGGTTGAAGTGAGAAAAGCTGAAGTGTCATCGTGGCTTTAGTGAGAAAAAGATACTTATTTTCTTCTTCTAGAGAGACAACGTAGTCCACAATTTCAGAGCAGGGAAGATCTGGGTCCTCATCTGCACTGCTTTGCTGGCAAGAGGGATTGACTTCAAAGGGGTGAATATGGTTATCAATTTTGACTTCCCAAGCAGTGCCGTGGAATACATCCACCGGATAGGTGAGTTTGGGCTGTGTGTTCCAACCTGTTGTTTCGTTATTTTGTCCCATGACTCTGGTGAACATGATGGTGAAGGTCAGGCCTGGCACAGATGAAGCTTTGTGGTTGATCTCTTGCTGGCATGGCTGGCGGTTAAAGCTGTCAGCACCTCAACAATCCTTGTTTTATGTATAGAATCCATTTTAACAGAGATGCATAGGATATGCATGGTCATCAGAGCCACCGGTGGCCCCATGCGTGCCACACATCCACAGGAGCGCAGGCTGTGGCATTTGGTACAGACTTTAGTTTTCATTCGAAAGGGAGAAACAAAGCAAAAATGACTGGCAATAACAGCTTAAAGCTTAAATATTTTTGGCCTCGTTGAATACTGGAGTGCACCTCCTAACATTTCTAAAACTAAACTTGTCTCAGCCTGGGTATGGATCTTGCTAACAATTTAATTGCAGCAACCAATGACTTCCCATTTATACTGACACTTTAAGTTATGCAAGACTTTACCGTTTCATTACAGGAATATCTTTACTGTTTGTTGGTCTGTAAATCCTTTTTTGTTGGCCGTAATCCTGTTGGTAGTCTGCGTCTGCTGAAGATAAATTGTGTAACTCACTGTAGAGCATTGTTGCTAATTAGGGAGGCACTAATTAGGGAGGTATGACTAGGCACGCATCAATTGTAGTGTTGGGTGTGCATGTTTTAACATGACTGGTACCTCATTCGTTAGCAGCTGCCTGCTGTGGTGAGGGGCGCAGTTTAACGTACACACATGTAGCTCATGAAGAGGATTCTGGCCATTGTTTATAACAGACTGGTGGACAGTGAAGAGTATATGTGTTTTTTGACTATCCTTCTCCATAACAGGTCGCACGGGGAGAGCAGGTCACACAGGCAAAGCAGTTACTTTCTTCACAGAAGACGACAAGCCATTACTGCGAAGGTATTTTATTTCTTTATTTTATTTATCTCCTTTGCTACTCAGCAACTATTGTAACCATATTGGCCTTTGGTCAGCAGCTGGATTTTTAAGCAAGGCCCAAAGACCTCGTCATATCGGTTTTTGCGGCTATCTACCTTGTTCTCCCTTCGCGGTTGGTGCACTGGAGTGGACGGCGTTTTAAGAATGAAAATACTCTGTGAAGAGATTTGCTTCTCTTCCTGTCCACCTGCTGGAAAATGGGGGCCACAAAGAGCCGTTAGCTCATGCTTTGATTTGGGCACCAGTGGTTGGGAGTCTAGTAGAAAGTGCGTGCGAAGGAGGCGTGCGTGGGGCTAGGGCAGTGATAGCGAACCTATGTCACGTGTGCCACATCTGGCACATGAAGCCCTTTCTTCTGGCACGTGAGTGAGTGGCCCACCCCCCTACCCTTGTGGAAACAAACCTTTTGAAGTGGCCGCAGCTGGGATTCCCCCTTTCTCTTCCTGGTCTGGGTCCTTTAACTTCCTGTCTGTCCCCATGATTCCCCCTTTAACTTCCTGTCCGTCCCCATGATTCCCCCTTTAACTTCCTGTCCGTCCCCATGATTCCCCCTGAAACTGCCACTTCCTGTTCCAGTTCTGGTCTTCCAGGCGGCACGGCAGCCACTGGTTTCTTCCCCACCCCCTCATTTTGGGCACTTGAGCCGAAAAAAGGTTTGCCTTCACTGGGTTAGGCCATGACGGAGAAGAGATGGTGTGGTGGGTCCCCCCTCTTCTCAGCTATTTGTCCTTAATCTAGGTCTTTGCAAGATCCTGGATGGGCGACAGAGCTGTGCTTGAGAGAGCCTCCTCTGCTTCTGTCTTTCTAAAGGCAGCTGAGAAGCGTTGGCTCTCCTTTCTCTTCCTCTTCATCTCCTTCTCCTCCATCCCTTGTTTTCTTTCCTTGCAGTATAGCCAGTGTTATTGAGCGAGCGGGCTGTCCCGTGCCGGACTACATCAAGCATTTCCGCAAGTTGCAAAGGTGAGAGAGGCAGTGATTTGACCCAGACAGGTTAAGGGGGTTTGGAAGGCGGGCCAGCCGGGCTTCGCTCCTCTTACTGCTGGTGCGATCTAGGCGTAGAGGGGAACCGGAGCATGCAGAGTTCTGCTCTTCAAACTAGTTTCGCTGTGCCTGTTTGGAAACGCAGGCCCAAACCAGTCTTTGCCATTTCAGGGACCACAACACACGATAATTAGTCGCAAACAGGAAAGGGAAGAAGAGAGCGAAGGGAGGGAGAGTGTGTGGCTCGTTTCCAGTTATCTGTGCTTTGGACTTGCGTTGTGGTAGCCAAACCCTTTTTAAAAGGTGTTTTTTGCTTTCCATCCCATTGAAACGAGCTTATCTGTCTGCCCCTTCCCGTGTTGTATGCAGCAAACATAAGAAGAAGCTGATCAAGAAGCCGCTGGAAAGGGAACACATCGTTACGTCTCCTCAGTACTTGAAGAGGATAGCCAAGAGGAAAAAGTAAGAGGAAAATTCTGCATCTGGAGCACCTAAGGAAAAAGCTGCATTTTTATCTGATTCCATAGGAAGGGATGTGGGGGGAGCATCGATTACCCCTCTTGATTGACGTAAGAAGCTGCCTCTTATGAGTCAGACTTTTGATCCATCTAGCTCAGGATCATTTAAAAAAAATACGATCTGACTTATGTCTCTGAGTTTTCAGGCAGAAGACTTCCGAGCCCTGCCTCAGACCTTCTGCAGATAAAACTCTTCTCAGTACTTGTATAAGTGAGAACATGTAGTCAAAATGTTTTGCACTTACCATTCTGGGAAACTGGCCTTTTTGGGTAGATATGGCTTCAGAAAAAGAGCTTGTCTTCCTCCTTGCTAATCTCTTAAATCTGTTTTGGAGGCTGCAGAGATGGCGATTACAACGGGATAGCTGGATTTCACCCTTGGGTCCCCAGATGTTCTTGGACTACAACTCCCGGAAATTCTGGTCAGCACGGCTAGCGGTGAAGGCTTCTGGGAGTTGTAGTCCAAGAGCATTGGGGGACCCAAAGTTGGGAACCACTGACCTAGAGGAAATAATTTGCTTCTGTTTTTGAAGGCAGGACCCCAAGGGAAGACAAGGCAATCATCCTTGGGGGTATTTCCAAGCCCCTTCTATGAATGTTCAGCTGTACTTTAAAAAACAAAAATTCTCCCATCAATCTCTAGATAAGACTCGTGGCTCAACGGAATAGAAAAAAAATAGAGGAAGCCTGTACAGTTTGTGTCAATAGCTTGCAGACATTTTGAGAAGTTGCCTTTCTGAATTCTATTACTGGTTCATCGTAACACAGCACTGTGTATTTTGCCTGTCAGTGGCTGTTTAAAAGGCATCAATTCCCTGCTGAGCTCCTGCTGGATATATCAGAAATTGAATCAGGACCTTCCTACACGCCAACCTTTAGAACTCCAGTGTTTAAAGCTATTAGATAGAGATTCTGGGAATTGAAATTCAAAATAGTAGACAGATGAGTGGCTGGAAACCAGTTTCCTGAAGAGTCTACTGTGCTGGAAGAATTAGTAGCTAGGGGATTGGCTTTTAAAGTTCAGAAGAGTTGGAGACGTGAAATGTTTTCTAACCTGGTACTTGCTCTTTTGTTATTTTTAATAGGTTAACTGCCAAGAAAAAAGTGAAGAAGGATGCAAAAAACAGCAATTCTAAGGCAGAGGCTGTTCCAGAAAATTGATTCTCATATCTTGAATGCACAGTCAACATGAACAAGGTTTCTGCCGTATTTGCAGGACTGGGGGATCTGAGCCACATAAGCTGCTGATGGACAAACGAGGCCTCTCTTGTCTATTTTGGCTGCAGTTTTAACTGTGACCACAGCAATCTGAAACCAGACCTGGTTTGCAATGGTTGTGTGGGAAGGAGACCATCTCCTAAGTGCGACGTTTTGCTAGGCTCATGTTCTAAAAGAGGACAAGTGTCATAACTTGAAGCATCTTGTAGATTTTTTGTGGAGGGGGAGTAGCTGAGAGGGTGTGTTGCCCAGAGCCGAGCCCATTGTCCATTCAATGATCATGTGCTTTATAAAGATTCATGTTTTTATTATGCAAGCATTGGATCATTGTGGCTTGGGGTCTTGAAGTCTGTACTCTTCCCAATAAAATGAATGCAAATGGTTTCATCACGGGCTTCGCACACGTTTTCAAATATTGGTTGATAGTTCTGTGTTGGAAATTTTTGAAAGGGACTGCTTGGTGCAACCAGTGTCCTCTTGTCTTCAGCAGAAAGTAATCCACTACATCTTTATTTATTTACAAACCTTAGCAAACAGCTCACGTCTCAAGGTTTCACCATGATGTACAATAATACGCTCCCACCAAAAACAAACAAAAAACAAACAAACAAACAAAAAAAACCACGCTGCTTTTACTTCGTCCACAAAAAAGCAGTTCGCATTTTGTAGCCTGCAAAAAGCAGGTTATGTTTGGAACATACATCTCTGAAAGATTTTTCATCACTATTTGGGAAGGACCCATATTTTATGGTACATTGCAAATGTATGAGAATATCTATTTTAAGATCATTTCCCTGCACATACGCAGAATTCCGCATTTGGATCACTGTGGAGTGACTGTCCCAAAGTTACCAGTGATTGTTCAATGAGGACTAGAATCTGGAACGCCAAAGCACCAGTTCCACATTCTAACCCATGCTTTTTCTGTGTGGCGGTAGATATCAATTCAATATGCGTATCCATCAGCCATAAAGAGCATACTGTAAAAAAATTATAAATGCTAGAGGGGGACATAAAGATAACCAGAGATATTACCTTTTTTTGGGGGGGGGGCTCACAAATCTCTGAATCTGTCTTCTGACAACTGCAATTGTAAAAAGTAACTTCCCCCATCTCTGTAGGTAGCTGAATACAGCTAGACAAAACTCTGTATTTTCTAAATTCAGCCATAAAGAGCATACTGTAAAAAAATTATAAATGCTAGAGGGGGACATAAAGATAACCAGAGATATTACCTTTTTTTGGGGGGGGGGCTCACAAATCTCTGAATCTGTCTTCTGACAACTGCAATTGTAAAAAGTAACTTCCCCCATCTCTGTAGGTAGCTGAATACAGCTAGACAAAACTCTGTATTTTCTAAATACTGTACTGTACTAAAAAATTGTATTGTAAAAATTATGTTAGCCCTCTTCTTTAGATGTACTATACTGTACTGTATAGGTGCATAAAGAGTTATTAATTTCTATATTCAAATGCATGATAGGAGAAAGGTGAACATGCAATGCCTCTTAGGATTGGGAGCACCTCCCTTTTCCCTTTTAAAACATGTGAAAACATGTCTGAAGATGTGGACTTGCTCACAAAAGTTCACATTAAAAAATAGCAGTTAGTCTTTAAGGTGTCAAAGTTTTTGACTTTATTGTTTATCTTAATTTTTGTTTTGTTTTTCTATGATATGCAAAACTTGCCTCTTTAGGGAGCTAGCGTCAGTGGAGAGGGCTTTTAAAAGCTATAATTTATAAAATAATGTTTGAAATATGTTACAGTTTTAAATCTTAATTGTTTTAATACATCATTGGTTTTAATTTTTTTCATGTACAAAGCCTTGGGGTCCCCATTAGGTGGGGAAAAGACAGGACAGGACACCAATTAAATAAATTGGGGATAATGGTCCTAAAAAAAATAATAATACAAATGCAGGAATGGGCAATCCCGTTATTGGACCATTGAGAAAAATAAAACAAAAAAACAGCTTTCCATGCTCATTCATCTTCCTCAGGCTGTGCAGGAAGTCTTCCTGAGTAGCTCCAAAATTATGGTAGATCTGATAAATAAATACAAATAAATATCTTCTACTTTTAAATCTTAATAAAACAAAGTCCATTAAGATTGAAAAAGGATAAGATATTTCCACTGGCTGTTGATTGTAAACGTGTTGTTATGCCGCCTTAGGTCCGCACTACGGGAGGAAGGCAGGGCCAAATAAAATAAAATAAAAAATCAGTCATTCCATTAGGCTTTTCGCCTAATCACCCCAAAAAAGCCATTCGCGCCCCATTTCATAG